ACTCATTCTCTCTCTCTCTCTCTCTGTTACACGCTTGCTCTCCCTGTCTCTCACACACGCGCTCTCACTCTCTCATGTGCTCACTCTCTATCTTACACATGCGCGCTCTCTCTCTTGCTCTCTCATGCTCTCTCTCACACACACATGCTCTCTCTCACACACGCTGTCTCTCTCTCACACACGCTGTCTCTCTTGCACTCTCCCACACACTCTCGCTTGCACACGCCAGCTCTCTCTCACACGCTCCCTCTCTCTCTCTCTCACACTCTCTCACACGCGTTGCCTCTCTCAAACACATGCTCGCTCTCTCACTCTCCCTCTCACAGGCTTGCTCTCTCACATGCTCGCTCTCTCTCTCTCTCTCTCTCTCTCTGTCACACGCTTGCTCTCTCTGTCTCACACACACGCTCTCACTCTCACACACACGCGCTCTCACGCGCACTCTCCCTCTCTCACGTGCGCTCTCCCTATCTCACACGTTCTCTCTCTCATACAGGCTCGCTCCCTCACATACACGCTCTCTCCCTCTCTCATACTCTCTCACACACGCGCTCTCTCCCTCTCTCTCACATGCGCTCTGTCCCTCTCTCTCACACGCACTCTCTCCCTCTTTCACAAGCGCTCTCTCTCTCATGCGTGTGCTCTCTCTCTTGCACACGCTCTCTCTCACAACATGCTCTCTGTCTCTCACACACGCTCTCTGTCTCTCTCTCACACATGCTCTGCCTCTCTCAAACACACGCTTGATCTTTCACTCTCTCTCTCACAGGCTCGCTCTCTCTCTCTCTGTCACATGCTTGCTCTCCCTGTCTCACACACACGCTCTCACTCTCACACATACGCTCTCACTCTCACACATACGCTCTCATTCTCACACATGCGTGCTCTCTCTCTCACATGCGCTCTCCCTCACGCTCACCCTCTCACACACACTCTCCCTGTCTCTCACGCTCTCTCTCACACACATGCTTGCTTGCTCTCTCTCTCGCTCCCTCTCTCACACACTCTCTCTCTTACACACATGCTCTCGCTCTCACTCTCTCACACTCATGTGCTCTTTCCCTCTCACATGCACACAGTCTCTCTCTCACATGCTCTCTCCCTCACAAGCATGCTTTCTCTCCCTCTCTCACATGCGCTCTCTCTCTCACACACACACTCTCTCTCTCCCTCTCACACACACGCTTGCTCACTGTCTCTCTCTCTCACATGCTCGCCCTGTCTCGTTCACACACACACTCGCTCTCTCTCTCTCCCTCTCTCACACGCACGCTCTCACACACACCCTGGTTCAATGGACAGTGGAGGAGGGCATGCCAGAAGCAGCGCCAGGCATACCTGAAGATGAACTGTCAACCTGGTGAAGCCACCAAACAGGACTACTTGCATGCCAAACAGCAAAAGCAGCAAGTGATAGACATAGCTAAGCGATCCCATAACCAACAGTTCTGCCACATCCAATCGTGAATGGTGGTGGACAATTAAACAACTCACCGGACAAAGTGGCTCCCTATCCTCAGTGATGGATGAGCCCAGCACATCATTGCAAAAGATAAAGTTGAAGCATTCACGGCAATCTTCACCCACAAGTGCCGAGTGGATGATCCATCTCGGCCTCCTCCAGTGGTCCCCAGCATTTCAGATACCAGTCTTCAGGCAATTTGATTCACTCCATGTGATATCAAAAAACGGTTGGACACACTGGATACTGCAAAGGCTATGGGCCCTGACAACATTCCGGCAACAGTACTGAAGAGTTGTGCGCCAGAACTTGCTGCTCCCCTAGCCAAGCTGTTCCAGTACAATTACAACACTGGTATCTACCCGGCAATGTGGAAAATTGCCCAAGTATGTCCTGTACACATAAAGCAGTACAAATCCAATCCGGCCAATTACCGCCCCATCAGTCTACTTTCAGTCATCAGTAATGGAAGGTGTCATCAACAGTGCTATCAAGCACCACCTGCTCAGCAATAACCTGCTCAGAGATGCCCAGTTTGGGTTCCGCCAGAGCCACTCAGGTCCTGACCTCATTACAGCTTTGGTTCAAACATGGACAAAAGAGCTGAATTCCAGAGGTTAGGTGGGAGTGACAGCCCTTGACATCAAGGCTGCATTTGACCAGGTGTGGCATCAAGGAACCCTGGCAAAACTGGAATCAATGAGTATCAGGGGGCAAACTCTCTGGTGGTTGGAGTCATATCTGACATATAGGAAGATGGTTGTGGTTGTTGGAGGTCAATCATCTCAGCTCCAGGCCATCTCTGCAGGAGTTCCTCAGGGTAGTGTCCTCGGCCCAACCATCTTCAGCTGCTTCATCAGCAACCTTCCCTCCATCAGAAGCTCAGAAGTGGGGATGTTCGCCAATGATTGCACAATGTTCAGCACCATTCATGACTCCTCAAATACTGAAGCAGTCAGTGTTCAAATGCAACGAGATCTGGACATCATCCAGGCTTGGGCTGACAACTGGCAAAGTGACATTTGCGACACAGAAATGCCAGGCTATGACCATCACCAATAAGAGACAATCTAACCACCACCCCTTGATATTCAATGGTGTTCCCATCACTGAATCCCCCACTATCAACATATTGGGGGTTATCATTGACCAGAAACTCAACTGGACTCACCACACAAACACATTGGCTACAAGAGCAGGCCAGAAGCTAGGAATACTGCGGCGAATAACTCACCTCCTGACTCCTCAAAGCCTGTCCACCATCTACAAGACACAAGTCAGGAGTGTGATGGAATACTCCCACTTGCCTGGATGAGTGCAGCCCCAACAACATTCAAAAAGCTTGACACCATGCAGGACAAAGCAGCTTGCTTGATTGGCATGACATTCACAAGCATCCACTCCTTGCACCAGTGATGCTCAGTAGTACACACTGCTGCTATCTACAAGATGCACTGCAGAAATTCACCGAAGATCCTCAGACAGCACCTTCCAAACCCACGACCACTTCCATCTCGAAAGACAAGGGCATATGGGAACACCACCACCTCCAAGTTCCCCCCAAAGCCACTCACCATTCTGGCTTGGAAATATATTGCCGTTCCTTCCCCATTGCTGGGTCAAAATTCTGCAATTCCCTCCCTAACAGCATTGTGGGTGAACCTACAGCAGGTGGACTGCAGTGGTTCAAGAAGGCAGCTCACCACCACCTTCTCAAGGGCAACTAAGGATGGGCAAGATATGCTGGCCAGCCAACGACGCCTACATCCCACAAATGAATAGAAAAAAAATTACATATACATGTTAGTCAAAAAAAACCTTGTAACTGATTAAAGATTTAACAGCATCTTAGGTTTGTTTAATACATGCTCATCAGTTGTGTGAACTTTGATGTTTTATTTATAACTTCTGTGTCTGATGCCACCCCTCTCACTAATGCCTGAAGGAGGAGTGAGGCTCAGAAAGCTTGTGTTTTCAAATAAACCTGTTTGACTATAACCTGATGTTGTGTGATTTTTGACCTTGTCCACTGTGGTCCAACACTGGCCCCTCCACATCATTGTACAGCCATACATGCCATCCCAGTTCCTGCACTCAATGCTCTGACCAATGAAGGGAAGCATACCAAATGCCTTCTTCACAATGCTGGAATCAAAGATAACACAGTATGGAGCTGGAGGAACACAGCAGGCCAGGCAGCATCACAGGAGCAGGAAAATTGACGTTTTGGGTCTGGACCCTTCACCCTGTCTTCTTTACCACCCTGATGCCACTTTCAAGGAACTATGTACCTGCACCCCTCGGTCTCACTGTCTGACAACACTGCCCAGTGCCCTATCGTTAACTGTCTAAGTCCTGCTGGTTTGTTTTACCGAAATACAATATCTCGCATTTATTTACATTAAACCCTATCTGTCATTCCTGGCCCAGTTGAAAAAGATCCCATTTTACTGTTAGATAATCTACACTATCGACTAAAGCATCAATTTTGGTGTCATCCACCAAACTTGGTAACTGTGCCTCCTCTATTCTCATCCAAATCGTTTATAGTTCACTTAGTTGCTGCAGTACATACGTCAGGAAATGTTCTTTGACCATCCAAGCACACCTCCTCCCTTTACCTGGGTTGCGTCGCCTTCAATCGGTCAGATCATCTCAAACAATAATAATATCCTGAACGAAGTTAGAGAACATAGCAACTCTCACGAGTCCCACTGATATCGGACCTATTTAGTATTTTCACATTTTTATTTCTTTGGTGAATCATTCCAAAGGATCGTTCACTCAGTAAAACTATGAACGTGAATAAACTTGCTGCAATTGCAATGAAGGGTGAACTCTGTTTCCCAGAATGCATGGAAAACGGCAGCGTAAACAGGACGACCTTTCCTCCTGTTCCTTTTCCGTGTTGGGCTGAGAAAGAAAGTGCGGCCCCTGTCTATTCGGCCGCATGCGCAGATGTTTGGAGCTCTCAAGTTTGAAGAACACACGGGATATTTTTGTTATTTTATCGTTAGAAGGGGCGAGTTGTTCCTCCTTTTTAAAAATCTTCACAGCCAGTATTTGACGCCCCGGACGTTGACTCTCAACGTGTAACCGTGGGCGTTCACACCAGTGGATCGGTAGTTTCAAGACGGGGTGGTTGGGGGGGGGGGGAACAAATCGAGATTTGTGTGTGTGTGTGTGTGTATATAGGTCAGCTGGCGACTAGCTCCCCCTCCTCGATCCAGGGTGACCGTTGAATTTTCGTCTCGAGATCGCGCCGTCTTTCTGTCGCACACCCCCCGCCCCGACCTCGTCTCGAGCTCGAGCCCGAGCCCGAGCCGTTGGTTGGCTGCCGTGTCCAGTGTCTCTCCGTTGGCTTCGCAGCCGAATGGTGTCCCCGGCGTGCGAGAGAGGCGAACGGGAGCACCAGCGACGACAGCAAAAGGGGCTGTTGGGGGCAACAAAAAAGGGAAAGGGGGACGATCACTTTGAAACTTTTGGGGAGGGGGGAGGGGGAAGGGGTGGTGGGGGGTGCTGTGAGTATAAGAAGCGGTCGGCGAGCGCTTTAGAAGTCGGACAGGGAGTAGAAGGAGGAGGAAGAGAATAATTTCGAGATCGCTCCTAGGAGTGGCGATCGAAGAAGAAAACGTCCAATCTTCTTTCTGACTGGAAAAAGGCTGCGGGTGCGCGTCCGGGGGCCGGAGGCTGCACCATGCAGCAGCCACAACAACAGTACGATTTCTTCAGTGAGGACAATGCACCCAAATGGCGGGGTCTACTCGTCGCTGCTCTGCGGAAGGTAAAAGCTACTTTGAAGATCTAGTGTGTGCTTATATTTAAATAATGAATTTGTGAGATCTATTGTAGTTTTTAGAAAAGAAATTCGAGGCTTAGCTTAGCGAATTATCGACTTGATGTGTTGATATTTTCCAACATCAATGAAAGATGCTTAAAATGCCTTTTACAAGCATGTGTATTAAATCAGTTAAATATTTCGGTAGTAGGAACGGGGAACTGTTTTGAAAGGAATATGTCGTTTCCTCTACCGCTGTCAACTGGTTCGATAAATAAATTGTTATGTTAATTTGGTGAATTTGGCTTTTTTGAATAGCGTACAGTAGGATTAGGTGATTCTGCTGATGTGACATGACATTTCCTTTCAGGAGCAACTTTTTTGTGTGCATACGAGTTTTTGCTATTGGTAATCACAATTATTAGCTTTCGACTATCAAACCATAATTAAGTGAAGTTTTATCTGATATGTTATGATCTTCCTTGGGGAGTTCTGTTTCCCCCGTGTTATTGTGTTGCAAATTACTTTGGGGTCGGGGTATTTTGGAATCAGTTGCGACAAGGTGTATATTTATCATGTGATTTTTATTGTGGGGTTTTGGACAGTGAACAGAATGGAAGTGAATGCGAGACTGAGATTTCCAGTTTCAAGCCTGTGTTTCTTTTAGTGAAAGGTCCGATTTAAGGCAAATTGTGGACCTTATGATTCAAAAGGCAGCCTGATATCTGGAAAGGATTGTTGGGCAAGTGAGATAAAATTGTGTCAGGCTCACTTTTGGTCAAGTAAATCTCAATTTTGAAAAAAATTGAAATGCCCAAATATAATATGCACATTCTTTACTTTTCGGATAAGGTTTGATTTGTGTTTTTTTTTAAATAAAAAGAAAGGAACTGTGGATTTTGGAAATCAGAAACAAAAACCGAAATTGCTGGAAAAGCTCAGCAGGTATGGCAGTGAATGTGGAGAGCAATCAGAGTTAACGTTTTGGTCCAGTGACGACTCCTCAGAACTGCTGAGCTTTTTGAGCAGTTTCTGTTTTGTGTTTTTAAATGATGGGTTGCCCTGACTCTCGTGGGGGTAGTTTGCATGAAGTATTTTTTAATATTAGCATTGATAATATTTTTAATGTAATTTCTAAAACAGTCCAGCAATATCTGACCGAAATTGGTGACTCAAAATCTTTTCTGAATGGGGAACACTTTTCGAAATACTGTATTAACTTCTCAAATAAGCCAGATGAAGTGTGCATTGATTGTAGAAAGCAGTACCATAATTAACTGATACAGAAATAAAGCATGAAGAAAATTTAAATTATTGCGTTACTGTGATCGTAGTACCTGATTATGCTTGATTCCAGGTGGATGAGAATTTGATTTGGTTCTCAGACATTCCAGAACCTCTTGTGGATCTCAGGACTGATGAATAAATGGCATGACTTGTATAATAGTTTTTTTAAAAAAGGCAAATTTTTGGCTTATTAAACAATAGAACTTCAGTGCTGTAGCTGATGCTGCATGTGGCTGTACTTTGGGCTATGAACTATTGCAAGGGGGAATTCTCTCACCTGTCATATACAATTTAGACAAATCGGTTCCAAAATGTCCATTCTTGTCTTTCAAGTAGCAATGATTATGCATTTTAATCATCTTGGAAGTGAATTACCATATAGTTTCTGGAGCAACTGCCATTATTAATTTTGTAAATAATATATACGTTTTTACAACATTTCTACTAAGATCCAATACTTTTTAAATTACTAATTTTTTTTCTCACTTTTAGGTTTCTGACAGAAATTCTCTTTGAATTAAGATTTTTGTTAGTCACTTGAGAGACATCGGTGTTGCTGACTGGCATTTTCGCCTGTTCCTAGTTGCCCTTGAGAAGGTGGTGGTGAGCTGCTTTCATGAACTGCTGCAGTCCATGTGCTGTAGGGTGACAAATAATGCCACAAGGGAGGGAATTTCAGGATTTTGACCCAGCAACAGTGAAGGAACAAATATATTTCCAAGTCATGATGGTGAGTCTCTTGGAGGGGAACTTGCAGGTTATGGTGTTCTCATGTATCAGCTGCCCCTGTCCTTTCTAAGTGGAAGTGGCCGTGGGTTTGGAAAGTACTGTCTAAGGATTTTGCAATTCTGCAATGCATCTTGTAGATAGTAGCAACGTTGTGTACTGAGTGTCAATGATGGAGGGAGTGGATGCTTGTGAATGTGGTGCCAATCAAACGTGCTGCTTTGGCCTGGATGGTGTCAAGTTTCTCAGTGTTGTTGGAGCTGCACCTGTCCAAGCTAATGAGGAGTGTTCCATCACATTGATGACTTGTCCCTTTGTAAATGGTGGACAGACTTCAGGGGAGTCAGGAGATGAGGAACTCTGGTGAGGAACTCTCCACAGTATTCCTAGCCTCTGACCTGCTCTCGTAGTCACTGTTTATGTGGTGAGTACTGAGAGTTTCTGGTCAGTGCAAACCACAAGATGTTGATAGTTGGGGATTCAGTAATAGTAACACTGTTGAATGTCAAAGGACAGTTTTGGCTAGTATCTTATTGGAGATGGTCATTGCCTGGCATTTGTGTGGCACGAATGTTACTTGCCACTTGTAAGCCTAAGTTTGGATATTGTCCAGATCTTGTTGCATTTGAATGTAGACTGCTTCACTATCTGAGGAGTTGTAAATGGTGCTGAACATTGTGCAGTCATTGGTGAACATCCCTACTTCTGACCTTTATGATGAGGGAAAAGTCATTGAAGCAGCTGAAGATGGTTGGGCCGAGGACACTACCATAAGCAACTTTTGCAGAGATGTTCTGGAGCTGAGATGAATGGCCTTCAACAAACATAACGGCTAATCCAGCCTCTCCTATGTGCTGTCGTCTAAAATGTCTGGTAGAGGACATGAACTGGGAGGCTGTGTTGTTTGTGGGCTTCGTGTCATACATTCTGGCTTAAAAGGATTTGCTGATCCTCAGGATCTCAGTCTGAGATGACATTACTAAGTCGTCTTCTTCTTTCAGGCTGCTGATTGCAGAGCTCTCTTTGAGCACCTTCCAGAAGAAGAAACATGAACACATCTTGTCCTGCTCCACGGTGTGGCCCCTGGACCAGAAAATTATCTTTGGAGGCCTTTTTGGCTCTTAATAGTTTGACAACTATTCTGCAAGATTTCCCTGGACCTCAACAAGAGATCCTCCTTGATGTCAAACTGCATCGTCTGCAGCAGGAGCATGTTCTGCATGGTTTTCTGGAGTTTTGACAATTTTCCCCATTTCTTTTCGCACCTTCTGAGTGCTTTTATTGATGATGAAGAAACTCTTGATGTTCCCCTTGACTGTTTGCCATCAGTCTGCTGGACACTCGGAGGGATTTCAGTTTGCCAATTTTTTGAGCACTTGAAAAGGGACTACGGTGTTTCATATTCAGCTTGCATATTTTGGATCTACTTCACTGTGTAATTATGAAATTTCTAATGATATTCTCAGTCTGCAAAGAGTGATCAATAGATCTTTCTTTTTGAGATTGTCGTCAATTTAGATTAAACATATTGATACTTCTTTAAAGTATCTTGCTTCCTACCTGTTTGGCATATCTTCGGGAGATACTGATTACGAAAGAATATGTTTAATTGTGGAAAGTTAGTTGAACTTTATGTAGAGACCACTGTACCTACCTACCTATGTAGATTAAGAATCATTTAAGATTTAGTCTGTTATATTTCAAATAAGCTGAAAATGGCCCATAGCCTTAGTTTCAAAGAGTAGAGGTTACTTTGCCAATGAGTGGCCGCCATGACTCCATTAAGTTCCTGAAGAACTGGGCACTGAGTTTTTTTTTGAGTTGATATTCTGAACACTGCTAACTTCAGACCCGCTATGTCCCCTGTCCTTATTTGAGATTGCAAGAACTGTTGAAACCTTCAACTGCGTGGGCTCTAAAGTCTAACATTCCCTGCCTACAGCTCTCCATCTCCACCTTGCTTCCCTCCTTTTAAAGTTGTATGTTTTAAGGAGTTCCTTACAAGCATCTTTTGTTATTTACTCTCATGTTTCCATAGATGGTTCTGAGTCGTGTTTTGTTTTGTAGTGCTGTTTTGAAGTGTCTTTGGATGTTTGAGCATGTTAAAAGATCCCATACAAGTATAATTAATTGATGTTGAGGTCCAGGTAAATGTTGCAGGAAAAAAAAATGCTGTGGAACCATGATCATGGTACATTTTCAGGGGAGCTCCAAGTTAAGATGGCTGACATCTGCGCCACCTTAGGAGGCTGAAACAATCTTTGGCCATCTAATAATAACTGTTTTAGGTGGAATAACCATAAAGGAATTCAAGAATGAGAAGCAGTAGTTGACTTAGTGCTAATTACAGTTGTTTTGTTCCTGAGCAACTGCAGCACTGCTTGTCATGGTTCCAGTTGTTAATCTTGATGTTAAGGTTTCTAATACTGAAAACTTTGTAATGGTAGATTTTTCAGCTCTGTGAAGATGCATTTTAATATTACATCTCTGGCATTAGAGATCTGAAGAAGTGAGGTCAACCACTGAATTTTGTTGTGGTCATGGAAGATTCTGAGTGGATGGGTTTGATTTCCATTTAACTGAGAAACATTCAGAAAATTTAGGTAAGGGAGCAAACCTGAATTTTTTTTTTTTGGTGTTCGGTGAAAGTCTTTTTTTCTCTGCATTAAATGAGATCATAAGACCATAGGATTGTAGCAATGGAAAAAGGCCGTTTGACCTATCGAGTCATCTACTCTATTCAAGGAAATTATGACCGATCTCCACGCCATCTCAACTTAACTTGCCTGCCTTTGCCCCATATCCTTGATTCCCATCTTGATTAAGAATCTGACTCCGCCTTTAATATCCATAATGGCCCAGCCTTGACAGCCCTCTGTGGTAAAGAATATCCGAGTTTGTTTGTTTGTTTGTTTGTTTGTCTGTCTGTCTATCTTATGAGAAAAGAATGCATCCTCCTGTCTGCTTTAATGGGTAACCCCTTACTCTGAGAT